TTTTTGCATCTTATATATTGTAGTTTGTTATATTTCAAATTTTAAACAGGTATTTTTGTATATAAATTAAACATAATAAAATTTTTTAATTGATTATTGTAAAGTTTCAATGATTTCAGTATAAATTTGTGAATTTTTAGTATTCTTCTTTTTAAATATTTCTGATGATTTGAATACCATATAATAAACATTACTTGTAAGAATTTTTAAATTTATCTGAAAAGGTAACTTGAATTGATAAGTATTTAATGTATTTTAAAATTTGTGTTAATATTTGCAAAACTCACGATGTTATATTATCGTAAAATAAACTGCCTCTTTCAATTATGATAAGTACCATATAGCGTTTCATGAGAATATCTTCCTTTCCATATTTATTTCATTCCATTCTTTTGCGAAAGTTATTTCACTTCTAGAATTCGATATCGTCAAATAATCCATATACTTAATAAAAGTCTATGTCAGAAAAGTGGAAAATCCGTGTATATTTATGATCACATTAATATTTATTGATGTGATTATATCATTATAAACCAATAACAATATTAAAAAAAATTATGACATAGAATAATGACATGTATTTATAAAGGAAATTTAAAAAAATACAAAAAATAAAAGAAAATATTTTGATAATATCTATTTGGTAATATCTAATTTAAAATAAATAATAATAATAATAATAATAAATACAATAAATTTTGAAGTTATAATTTCATAAACTTTAAAAGAAAAGTAAAGTATGTAATTATTCATAATATTTAGTTTAATCAAATCCATGATTACGATAATTGTGGCCCCTCAAAATAAAAATGATTTTTGAAAGCATTTTTAGCGAAAAATATGAGAAAAATAGTAAAAAATTTTCTAACCAACAAATATCAAAATAATTAACAATTATAAATAAAAAAAGTCGTCGCTTCGCGTGAAAAGTCGTGCGCTTCCTAGCAAAGGAGAAAAGGAGATAAGGAGAAAGTCTTAATACTCCTATCAAGGTCAATGTCCTGAATAACTGCTAGAACATTTCAATCAACAATTATTGTTTATTGAAAAGTTATATCAAATTGATAATAAAATCGAATTATGATTAGCAAATTAAATATTATGGAACTTCTTAACTATTTTCTATTATTCTCGTGTTTCTTAAAAATGTTTTCAAAAATAACTTTTATTTTGAGGAGCCACAGTTATCGTAATCCCAAATTTGTCCATTGTTAATTTAATATTATTGGCATATCGCTAACATTTTATCTACTTAACTTTAAATAAAAGCTTGCAAATTATGAAAAAGCATGATGTCTAATCTAATAATAAAAACTTTGAAAAAAAAAATTTTTTATATAAGAAAATAGGATAATTAAAAATTTTTCCTAGATTTTATATAACTTAAATAAATTTGTTTTGATTTTAGGAAATCTGAAGTGCTATTGCGATATATGCCCGAAAACAAATTACACTTGCGAAACCGATGGTTATTGTTTTGCCAGTACGAGCCTGAAAAATAACGTCATTTCGTATGCTCGAAGGTAACGTATTTGCATGTTAATATTATTTATAATCATATTCGCGATTTACATTTGAAATCCTTTTTTATTGGCTCATCTCTTGATCACCGATAGATTGCTGTCAATCAAATAGCATTTGATGGACACCGGCAAATACTTCCAATCTACCATAAATTATATTTATTTTCCCCACTACTAAACTTTATTATTTAATTTGTTAATTTTCAGTATATTAATCAATTAAGGCTATTGAATATTAAAGAAATGATTTATTATAATATCAATTAGTAACAAAATCTGTATAATTCGTCCTAAAAAAGATTCAACACGTTCGTAATTGACGTAAATTGATGTATATAATGAATCGAATAGTCTAGACAGATGTTAGTAAGCGATCAATGACACTAATATTAGCGTAGATTTTTTTAAATTTTCCCAACAAAACAAATCCGGATTCTTCGCATTATCTATAATATTTATCGTAAACTGATTATAATACATTACTATACAATCAATGTTAACATAAAACTTGCAAAATCGTGTAATTAGATATGCAATTGTTTCAAAAGATTTTTCTTATTAAATTGTTCTTTTATTTTTCTTTATTTTATTTGTTTTATAATTATTAACTTATTAATGCATAAATTTATTTTAAATGTTTACATATTTTCTTTTGACATTTAATTATATTTCTTTTTAATTATGTTTTTATACATCCATAAGATTTTGTTCGCGTTAATAGATTTTTTACTTTCAAAATCTATTTCTATATTTTTTCGAGAATTTTATAAACGTATTTTTTTCTTTTAAAATTTATTACCAAATTTTAGATTTATAAATAATATATAATACGCGCGTGCGTATCACAAAAAAAATTACATACATCACTACATGATGTATTGATGTATGTAGTTTTTTTGTAACATACAATGATGTATTTTTAATTCTTATTTTTATAAATTTCTATTTTTTATTATTATATACATACACACACACACACACACACACACACACACACACACACACACACACACACACACACACACACACACGCACACACGCACACACGCACACAC